TACGACCTTACGAGGAAGTTTTTACTACGAGCTTACGAGGAAAGCTTACTAGGACCTTACGAGGAAAATATTACCACGCCTTTACGAGGAAAGCTTTCCTCGTAAATTCGCTACAACCTTACGAGGAAAATGTCTTTACGATGAACGTGTTTCGAGGAAACGCGTTTCCTCGTAAGTTCCTAGTAAAAGGCCATTTACTTGGAACTAACGAGGAAAACCCGTCCTAGTAATGGACGAGTTTTCTTGTAGTGCAAATCTAGGTTAATATTAAATCCGTTTATGTTGGATTAAGAAGATAAGTAAACAACAAATTTGAATTGTGATGACTACTACTGAGAATCTTGACAAACAAACATATTAAAAATGGTCCCTATATATATATATATTAGAAAGTGTGGTCCCTTAAATAGGTGATAGCAAAGTTAAAGGAGGTTGCATTGATGTTTATAGAAGAAAACTCCAGAAATGTAAACTGGATCTTCCTTAATTAGTATGAGACTGGAGAGACAATGTCATCGCATTGGCTTCTTTATCTCTTCTCCGTTTTGTTTGTTTTAAGCACATTTTTATAAAGAATATCGTCCTTTCTCTTCTTTGTTTTTAGTTTTGTTTAAGTTATAAGGACATTATAATGTAGATTGTACTGTGACCAGACCCTAACATTTCATGTGATTTGTATTGGCCACATTCACTTAAATATAATCATGTCATGGTCCAGTCTTCCCTTACATTTATGAATCTACATTGTACAATCGTATCACTTTAATTACATGTGACATGTGCTCTATATATGGGTTAAGTTTTATTGAACTTTCACTACTAGCTTAAATTTTTTTACTTTATGTACATACAATCTAAGGAAGGATAATTACACGTATCCGTATGAGTGAAACCAATATGGTATTGTCAACAAATTTGCAAATTATAAACGTCAGACGTTACCATTATTAATTTTATCAGTAAATAATCATACGAGTTATTCCCATACGTACAACGGTCACTGTGATCCCCTATTACAAACTATTACTAATTATTGTGTAACTTATCTGTAAAATGGGGGGAAAGAACATATCGTACTTGTTTAATGGTTAGTGGATGGTATTAATGTGGGAGAAAAGAAGTCAAATGAAAGTTAAGGATAAAATTTGAAAGGAGGGTCAAGACGTCATGGTTTGAAACATGAGAGTCACGGTTGTAGATCCCCTCGTTGTTCGGTAACACCGCCATGGAGTTTGTGTACGAATCTTATTGTAGTTTGAGCTTTTCAGTAGTTTTTAAATTACATTTTTTTGAGGAACATTATTCTAGTATATACAAGTAGTGCTATTGTTGTGAGTCTTACACAGATTGTAACTATGCAATATATAATTGTTTGTTGAATACTCTCCATTACATATCGTTATCATCGTAGGTTTTAATCTCTATATTGTGAAACAAGACTTCAAATAGTTTTCAAAATGGTACACTAGAAAATAGTGTGAAATAACCTCCAGAATATGCGAGTTCTTCTAGACTATGGTCTTGTTTATTTGATCACGATTGTTACAGGTGATATTGATAGTGATAACGATGAGTAATTAATATATATATCATCACCATTTGTCTAGCTGTAAAAATGTTTACTCTATATAATCTCTTTTATTGACAAAGTGCTCAAACTTTTCTATGTGATTTAAATAATCTTTAGCCACCATAAACGTCTTCAATAGCAAAAGAAGATTTCGATATTCTTGATTAACAAATAAAAGATATATAGTCTATCTCTTGTCAACAGTTACTATGATAAAATTCTCTTTTTGTCGATTCATCATAACTTTTTACACTGGTACAAACATCACAGTTCAACAATAGGTTTTAGCATGTTTAGATCATAACTTATAATCATTGATGAGATATTTATAGTTTTGCTATTTTTCATAATTAATAAAATGGTTTAAATCGTTCTTGATAGTTCTACATAATATAAAGTTCATTATATAATTTATGGTAGCGAGTTCAGTTGTGTACATCATATAGTATTAGAAATAATAATGAAAAATAATAGATTTAAAAAAAAACAATTCGACCTAACTTCTTACATGCTTTGTAGTATATAGTGACGTTATGTGGCTTTCACTTTCAAATTACAAAGTGTACAGAGTATGCATGAAAGCTTCTCCCTCCAAAAACTAAACAACAATAATTACTTCTTGAATTTTTGGAGCAAAAAACTACAATAAAAGTATATTCTGCATTTCTGCTACATACGATTGGACAAGCTTCTTCTTCCTCTAGAAAATAGCTTGATATGTCTTTTTCCAACAGATATACATAGACACTAAAATCTTAGAATCTATATAAATTAAAATATACACATGCAATATGTTACATTGTGTGATATCGACAGAATAACAATTAAGCGTATATTTATATTTCAGAGAAGCCAAACCCAGCAGGCCCCCACTATTTTGCCACTTTCTAACCAAAAACATTATTCTTATTGTAATCTCATAGACCAGAGCCATTTGTTCATCATTTTGATTTTCAAAAAATTAATTGATTTTACATTTGACAAACTTTCTCCAGTTTTAAAAAGCCTACGAGACCACAAAAATAGCTGGAGAAAGAGAAAGACACCTAACCTATGGAAATGTATACAAACAGAGATAGTATTATTTGTTTATACGGTCTCGTGGATCCACTTTCTCTCAATGATATACTATTTTAACATTAATCTTTATATAAAAACCATTTCCCCCACTCCATACTTCTCCTCCTTCCTCCTCAAGTCACAAACCAATCCAACATACAGACAACAGAGCCAAGTCCTTAAACCATAAAAAAAAAATGGGAAGAGATTGGTCTTGGCTCGGTGGAGGGAAGAAGAAACCTTCAAGCAAGTCAAAGAAAGACATCAATACAACGCCACCGCCACCGCCACCACCGCCTCCGTCTTCATCTCCAGCCGGCAATGCTGCAACGGCGGCCGGATGCATGAGTGCTGTTTTTAACATATTTGATTTACAACATTTACAGTTTCCCATTAACCACCACCATCTTCATCTTCCCAAAGGTACCAATCTTTTTATTATCACTCTTCACTTCTCAGTCTCTACAAATATTTAACTTGATTCTCTATTAAAAACCATTTTCAGGGGTTGATGCGCCGAGAAACAGCTTGGAAACAACGGAGGAGGAGGAGGAAACTCCATATTCACCGGCAAGAAAAGATGGAAATTTAAATATCTCTGTAAGTAAACTAAAATTTAAAAAGAACACTCTGTTTAGTTTATCTTCTTGGGTTCCACAAAAGTCTCCTCCTTTTTTTTTCTAATACTCATGACCCTAATCATAACTTAACTTGCAGATGGGTTTTAAAATCAAGACCAAACCACAAGCAAGATCATCATCATCATCATCCCCACTTGCAGCCACTGAATCTTACTCTCCGAGTGTAAAGACACCAACTTTGGTCGCTAGACTGATGGGTCTTGATCTTGTTCCGGAAAACTACAAATCATCTCCTACTCCATCTTCTTCTTCTTCTTCCTTTGATCTCAAGACAACAACAAGATCTTCTTCACACACCAACAAACACAGACACTACTCTCTCCAAAGAAACTCTGTCGACGGAGGCACACGATCTCTTCCCGAGACACCGAGGATCTCACTCGGAAGGAGATCAGTCGACTGCTACGAACACAAACGTTCTTCACTTCATCTACGCGACAACAACAACAACACGTCGTCTGAGAGAGAGTCTAATGTCAGGCTCACGAAGGTCAAAGAGATGAAGATACATGAAGATAAAGAGAACCGAAGCCCACGAGATTACGCTAGACAGATAGTGATGCAGCTGAAGGAGAACGTTACCCGGAGAAGAAGAATGGGAACTGATCTCACCAACAAAGAACAACAACAACAACAACCAAGAGAGTCCCATGAACCCAAGAAAGCTTCTAAAACCACAATCACCACACAGAATAACACACCATCATCCCCAAGATTAGGTCTAACAACAACAGTCTCATCACCTCATACAAACAACTTTCCTCCCAAGACTCAGGAGCCACCAGCACCAAAGACTCAAGACAAGACCAGACTACAAACAATGAAAGAAGAGCCACATGGATACAAAAAACAGAGCAAGTCAGTAAAGAAACAAGACAACTTCAAGTCTAGACTAGTGAAGGAGGAGCCTTTTGTTAGATCACCAGCAACAAGTACCAACAGCAACATTCTTATTCAAGGAGACAAGTCTTCTCTCTCCATTAACAATCTCCTCAGCTCCAAAACTGTTCCCTCTCTTCACACAATCATCAAGAAGAAAGATTCATCATCATCATCATCACCTCACAAACAGGTGATTACATCAACCAATCCCTCTCTCCATATCACATTTAATCTTTTCATTTTTCATTTTTTAAAAAAATTATTTGCAGTCAAACATTAAAGTGGACACGTCATCATCATCACAACCATCGAGAAACAGAGTCTCATCAAGAAACAGAGCAATAACAGAGCTCCCTAGTAATCAGAGCCAATCATTAGAATACATCACAAGAACCCTAAGACGAACCGGAATCGACAGAGAAACACCGATCTCATACGCGAAATGGTTCTCTCCTTCACATCCGCTAGATCCATCGATCTTCTACTTCCTCGAGCATTTCGCGATCTCTAGACCTAGAAACTCGCCGGAAGGCTTATCTCTCCGATGCAATCGGAAGCTACTGTTCCACTTAATCGACGAGATCCTCGCCGATGTCTTGAAACCGATCATCGACTCGAAACCGTGGATTCGCCGTTATCCGATCCGATCTCTGAGAGGATCGGAGCTGATCGGAGAATTGAATCGGAGGATCGAGAGGTTTCCGTTGGCGGAGTGTTTGGTTCTGGAAGATATCGATTCTCTAGTGGCCGGAGACTTCCCGGAGACGACGACGGAGACGGTTTTCGAGGAGGAAGGGGAAGGGATCGTCGCGGAGATCGAGAGAGGGATCATCGAGGAGCTCGTGAACGAAACGACGACGGTTTGTTACGACACGTGGATCGGAACGGCGCCGTTTCGGGGGAACGGTGATGTCAGTGGCACGTGGGGGGTTCACGTGACGGGAAAGATGGGTCCCACCACGACTCGTCCGCTTTGCTTTGCGAAAGGAGGTTGAGGGATCCACGTGGATAGAAAAGTATTTCCACATGGCTGATGTTTATTGGGCTTTTTCTTTTGTACAGTTGTGTTTTTATTATTTTTTTGAAATACTTTTGTAGCCGTTATATATATATAACTAAAAATTAGAATAATGTTTTTTTTTTTTTTTGAAATGTGGTATGGTGCTAGTTAGATTAGATCTGTCAATGTTCAGATGTTTTGTCCCCCGTGTATTCCAACATCCCATGGGGTTTGCATATGCTATTGTGGACTGATGAATAGTATCATTCATGTGTGTTTTGAATATTTTTTTTGTTTTTTTTGGGCAAGAGTTTTATCTTTCTTTTGTAATGGGAACTTTTGTATAGAAAATGTTTCGATTTATTCACTCAAGGGGTCTAGGATCAATATTTGAAATCATATCATAGCTAGATTCGGATAGTCGTATAAGTTTGGAAATATAATATACAAATATTTTTAAAGAAGCCTATACTATTTAAGGGTCTTCTTACTCTTGCAACAAGATAAACTTTGTTTGTTGTTTTTTTCTTTTTGACTGAGAAACTTTGTTTGTTATTTGAATATTTTTTTTGTCAAATTAGCCTTATGTGTTACTTCGAAACTGGTGTTTACAGTTTTACATGACATTAAATTTTAACATTGTATTTGTATAGTATATTAGAACCCATTTTTGTTTAGTTTTTGAGATACCTATTTTTTACAGACTGAATATAATCAAAAGTTTCAGTCTGTTCTGCATATAAAGTCGTTTGTCGTAATCTTATAAGTAACTTTGTTGATAATTTATCATGATGTAGATAGAACTAGATCGTGGGCTCATGTACTGCATGTACTGGAGCCAGTTACATTTCTTGTGTCATGCGAACAAACAAAATATAAAATATATTGGACATGCTTTTTTCTACTGAAACCAAAGATATTTACTTTCACAAACCACATACAATATAAACGAAACAGTTAAAACATATATAAACCTAAAAGATCATTCAGAAATTATTATATAGTTACCAATTTACGAATTATGTGCTATTATCTGTTCTCATAAAAAAAAATCGGCGCTATTAGTCCTGTTTTTATTTTTTATCAAAGGAAAAAAAAAGAAACAAACATGGAGCACACAACAGTTAAAGGTTTCAAGCTCTCTGACGATGTGACACAGCTCTACTTTATACAGAAAGAATTATTCACTCCATGAGAAATATAACATTATAGTTATGGTGATGTGACAAGATTCTCACACTTTTTTAATTAAATAGTATATGACAGCACTATAATTAAGTATCTTTTTTATAACTGTTTTATTTTAGCATCTTGATGGAGCGTTGAATTAGAAATAGAAGTATATGGTACATGGTACTCTTTGTATATAGTTTGATTGTTTGTTTATTATTCGACTTATCTCATTTTCTCGAGCTCATGTATCCTAATTTGTTTGTTAAACCTATTGAAAGTTTTGTAACTATAGAGGGTAAAATCAAGAAAAAATAAGTTAATATTACCATATACAGGATACAGCCATGAAGCAACAACTTTTCAAAAGCCTTTGACGATTATGACGTTGACGATGAGTACAAAAACGTACGTATATTTCAAGAGGAATCTCATGTATCCTTTGTTATCATGTTATGAGAGTTTGTGCATCACAGAGAACTTAAATAATTCTGACGAGTGTCCAAAACAATTATAATAAAGGAGCGTAAAAATAATATTTAATACATGTCTTTTCAGGGGGGAAAAGAAAAGTGAAAAGGAGAAGAGAACCTTGTAAAGTAGTAAAAAGACAACACGAAAGATAGATTTTGCATGGACCCGAGACATTTACGTGAAGATTAAAGCTACATCTGTCGTAATGAAGACACTACTCATGCAGATTATAATTCACAGCGTATAGTTTCTTATATCCATTTTTTTGTTAATGTTATAACAAATCTACTTCGATCAGACATACAAACTCCATTGTGGAACTTTAATCACACGGAATTTGTATGACTGTTACAAACCCCATATTATCATCACAAACATCAGCACTGAAAATACTACCCAACCAAAACTAATTCAAAAATAATCAAACATATCGAACTATATAATTATAACATTATTATTTGTTACTTCATCATATCTAGTCATATTCAACTATTTTCAAGATAATAAATTTCAACAGTAAAAATCAAAAGTGATGTGACTCAGTCTCTAAACGTGTTTTTTTTTTTGAACTGTCTCTAAACGTCATGAAACATCCAAAATCTTACATCTATCATCCATGAATGAAATTATGCTCAAAGGGTGTTACCAACACATCAAATGACTTTTTATTCGTATATTTGTGTCTTTATACATATTTCTCCCATATGAACATATGTATCTTAATAAAAATCAGATGGCAAAAAATAAATAAAAATATGTATTTTTTTTAACATACAGTATTATACTTGTCATTGCTGGTGTGTCGATTGTCCCACTAATTTTTTTGTTTTTTTTTATAATTATCCAACTAAACTGTCGACCGTTGGGCGGGAAATTCAAAATAAGCAGCAAAAATATAAGATAGAGAGCAAAGTCACATGGGTGATGATTTTTAATAATATGATCTACATTTGCTAACTGTTGTATAAATTCAACATAATGATAGGGTTGACCAAAATCTATTTAATGATGTTCCTATAAAATATTTTTTCCATATACAATAGTTAACCGCTTTGCATCTTTTCTTGCAGATATTAATTGACTCATTTGACTGCCCAGTTTATGGAGACTAATAGATATATATATATATATATATATATATATATGTATATGAAAATATTCAGATATATTTAGTGAATTATATTTTAAGTAAGTTACATAATATAGTCAGATGATAAAGGGTTATTCTTCTACGTTTTGCATATTTACCTGTTATTCGTACGTTCGTACATGTTACATATCATGAACGTCGATGTAAACTCATTGTAAAACTTTACCACGATTAAACTTGGACTTCTATGTAAACTCGTTGTTAAGTTTACTCGACTTCGACTTCGAAACTTTACAACTATTTTGTAACGAATAGTTTACGAGCCTTTTACAACGAAATTATAATTTAATTAAAGACGGGCTTACGAAGAAATATTGAACATGAGTTTACGATGAAACTTGTTCGTTGTAAGTTTACGGACTTTATTAGGTCTGGGCGGATTGGATATTCAGATTTTTAAAAGTATTTGTGATTTGTTTTGTATGTTATGGATATCTATTTTTTCGTTTTGTTTTACTTTAGACAAATACGAATATATAGAAAAACAAATAGATATTTGCGGATATTAATTACGAATACTTACGGATATCTAATTCGTTTTGATTAATACAAATAATCTTAAAAATTTGATAAAAATTTGTTTTGTAAAATATTTTTTGCATAATATATAAAATAAAGATTAAAAATAGTGAATCTATATATTTTATAAGTTTTTTATATTTAGTTAACAATCATAATAATACAAAAACTAAGAACAAAATTACAATTGTCAATACTTTATATAAGTAATAATGTGAATAAAATTTGTCAATGGGAAAATCTCTCAAATATATATTTTTAAGTTTTTTAATCACAAAATAGACTTCAAAAACTAAAATGACCAAAATAGCATTTTTAATTTTGAAAATTTTATTGTTTTTAAATTTAAAATCCTATCTCCAAAACTTCACTCCTCAATTCTAAACAAAAAAGTCTAGGATTAGTTAACCCAAATGGTATAAGTGTATATATACTTATTCTTGATAAAACATTTACGTCTATTTTGGTCACTTTTTTTTTGAAAGTCTATATTTGTAAAAAGAAAAATTAGGTTTATCCTAGGAAAATTTCTCTTTGTCAAATCATATATTAGAATAATATTATAATTTTCTACATTTAAAACTTTAAATATAATCAAGATATACATGTTTTTATATAAAGTTGGATCAGAGTTGGATATTCACTTCCTAAAATTTTAATATTTGTGATTTGCTTTAATTTTTATAGATATTAATTTTTAGTATTTGATTTGCTTCGTAAATTTATGGATATCCGGAATTTCCGAATCAAATCGAAATGAATAATGCATAGAATCAAATTTAACAGATAAAATGCCTAACCTTAGACTTTATGATGATTTATCTGTTCCAAAGGGTGCTTTATGACGATTGATGTATTGTTATTAATTATAACGTCCCGATCGTCCACGGTTAATGGGTCATCCATGCCCACTTTCTTGGCCAATGGGCTCTATCTCGTTCCAACGGTTGGTTTGTTAATTTTTCCACGACTCAAAATCATTGTTTACTGACTCTGTAAGCACCACCCGACATTTTCCCGTGCTTTGGTCTCACTCACACGGTATCGCAAATCACTTTCTGATAGATTACCTATCCTTTCACTACTCCAACACGCTTAACTCTAGAGTTTTAAACGGATGTGTGACGAAAAAGATAAATCAGTTTTGGTGACATGGATAATCAAATCAATTCTCTTCAGCATTTTCCACATATCACAACTCAAGATGTTACAATCCAGCCCATCTCAAAGAACACAACATTCTCATTACATTCCACGACAGATCTCAAGACATCGCTCGGATCAGAATCGAGATGAATAAGCAGTTCTAATACCACTTATAACACACCAAAGATTCAAAATCATACCACCCGACTTTTCCCTATACTTTAGTCTCACTCGCATGGTATCACGAATCACTTTCCGATAGATCATCTATCCTTTCACTATTCTAGCCTCAGCACGCTTAACTCTGAGGTTTTAACGAATGTGTGATAAAAAAATAAGTCAATTTTGGTAGTATAAATAATCAAATCGATTCTCTTAAATATTCTTTCATATCACAGTTCAGAACGTTACATTAACACTGTTGTAAAATGTCATTGTATATATTCATCCTCATAGATGGTATGTTTTTTTGTAGTGTTTAAAGTATTTCTTTTAGAAAAGATTGTATATTGGTATAAATATAAAGAAATTGACTTGTTTGTTTACACGTACTAGTGCAGATGTATTGAGAAACAAGATATAATTCTTGTGAACCAAATGATATATGGATCAGTAAAATCCGATTATGAAGTGAAACCCCTAAAATTTATAAAATCCAAACCAAAAAGATATTTTATAAATTTAGTATACTAACTTATTTTAAAACTAAAACCAATATATAAGTATATGTATATATTCATGTAAAAAGTAAAAATATATATAAAAATACAATAAAATCTTGAGTGTAGTCCAGAAAAATCCCTAGTTTATAAATCATATTATGATAAGATTAGATGACTTAAATATATATATATATATATATCATAAGATTTAAATAAGTTATATTTCTAATTGAGTTAGGTCTAAGTCTTAAATATATATATACAACTCTTTTGTAAGTCATTAAATTACAACACAATATATTTATATTCTCTAAAGGCATCTCCAATTTATAATACTAATTTGGTGTTAAAATAACACTATTTTAATATAATTTTAACTCTAGAAAGAAATTTATTTCCAACCATAACACCAAACTTCACACTTAAATAATTTTATAATATTGTATGTATTTGTTTTCTTATTTTCTGTTTATTTAATTGTAGATTTTATTAATAAAATAAGTGAATAATGTTTTAATGGGGTGTACAATTTACTACATATTATGTTGATGAAAGTTGAATGATATTTACAAATAATGACATTTTCAATTTATAAAAAAAAAATTCTATTGATATTTTTCAATTACAGAAGCCGTACTGTTCCCTTAAAATTTTCTACTTCTTTCATATTTTTTATTGCTAAATACTTTTATGAAAGGAATGCAGGCGACCCTTTTAAGAAAAGAGAATAGTTTAGTTTTTTTGTACCAGTTTAATTACTAAAATATTTTTTTGTGAAAGATTACTAAAATATTACTTATATTATTATAAGTGCATATTAGACTTTTGGTTATAAGAATCCAAAGGAAAACCGAAAAAGATTTACAGAAAATCAAGAAAAGGTGTAAAGTTAGAAAGCAGACGTAAAGTCGTGGAAGTTGCATGGCTCCCCTAACCTATGTAAGTACGAGAATGTACTTCATAAATATATTTTGATAAGGAACTCAATAAATTTTCGATAGATGTGCACAACTTTTTTTTGGGTGCAAAGATGTGCACAACTTAATAATACTGTATGTGATTTTCTGTTGGGGATGATACCTGACTCAATAAACCTTAAGATTGCGTAAAGATATGATGATATTGATATATGATACATTATTAATATCTAATCTCTAATCGATATATACTTTGTATAGGGGATGAATTACTGCTGCAAAAAAGAAGTATACACAGCTATAAAACACGTTACCCAAGGGTTTCAAAATGCATGTATAATATGGTCTCTATTCGAGCCATCTTCCACGAAACTCCAATGTTCTCTATTCGAGCTCTAATATCCTCAAATTCCATACATAGATATCTTTGACTCAAGTGGGTAGACATAGCGCGAACATCATCTATAATTAAGACCAGAGTTTTCTGTAATCTGAAAACGCTGAACACCGTTGTTTTTAGACAATTTTCATATTATAAAATTGCTCGACCAAGTGATGCAATCAAAACAGATATATGGTTGGTGTAAGATAAATATATAATAAAATACATATATATATATAGCGGTCAGATATAATTAGTGAGTTCTTCTACTACCAGACTGATCTCTGATTACCAATGACAATCTTATTATAAAGTATATTAATATAATGTAAAATATATTTAGCAGAAGCAACGGCCGAAAGTGAGTTTTCAAAATTCAAAACAGCAGACTAAGCAGCTAACTGTGAGTGTTGTCAAAAGAAAGCTGATAACCGTGAGCTGATGCATTTGTCTCCTATATAGTAGAGTATATTAATATATTGTTTAAAAGTAACATAATTCTATCTACATCTTATATTCTTATTATTACCTAATATAAGCAGTAGTTGCAACTAAGACAGTTGGGTTGTTGGTTGTAAACCAAATCAGCCAAGAAAGACTAATTTAATTCATGGGCCTTTATTGGTCTGAAAGCCCATAACGTGATGAATAAAATACTTTTGCGTAACCCCTCATTATTGATGGCATTGAGCCGTTTCCATATTCTACAGTCGAGGGAGGCTAAAAACCTTTATTCGACATTTTTTTATATTAACGCTAAAGGATGAAGAGAGCCATGTATCTTCGGAGACGGTTTCTAACTGCTCTCAAAATCCATTAGTTAGATTCTTCAACGTCAATTATGACTTTTGTGTGTTCTTTCGAACGCAGGTTCTAGGACTACAAGTGAATACTTTCTACGAGTTTCTTCTCTCCTTAGCTATCTCTATATTTAGTTATGTTTTAATTATGTTAGATGTTTATCAGTTTGTCGTCGAATATCCCTCTGATTGTAACCAACTTACCTTATCGAACATCTGATTTTAATATAAGCATTTGTTGTTCAAACAAAAAACACTAAAGGATAATGACAAAATTCCTCAAATATCACCTCATCAATTTTAAAAGTTTTCAACTATTTTTTAGTTAAAATTTCTCAACTAATCTTCTACTTCCTCCGTTTCTTTTTATAAGTAGTTTTATTTGAATGCACGAATATTAAGAATAATTTATTATTGTTTATAAAGTAACACTTGATATATTAAATTAAATGTAATTAAATCAATCATAAAATATGTCAGTATTATTTGATTGGACATACCATATTCAGTAAATGTAAAAGTTGCCTAGAAATTTAAAAATTACTTGTATTTCGAAACAAGAACAATTCTCTAAAAACTACTTTTAAAAAGAAACGGAGGGAGTATAATAAACGAAACCATTATCTGATACCTGAAGAGTTTTTCCATTAATATTCCCTTTGAAAAAATCGTTTACTATTCGGAATGTTAAGTTCAAACCTGCATCCTTCATACCTCATGATTGATTCAAGAATTCTGAATATAGGTATTATTCTCTTATTAATTATGTAGGGATTACAATCATAAGATGATATCACAAATCATTACCTCACAATTCACTGATTAAGGATTTGATTACAAGTAAATATATAGTATAAGGTCATTTGCAGTGTTTCTCTGGCAAGCCTATGAATAAATCAGTTTGTACTTCCAAATTCAGATCAACAACTCTGAATTTCTCTTCATGATTAGTCGATCCTCTCCATGGTTCCATATCAGTCTGTTCATAAATATATAAGGGATTTCATGAACCGCACAAAATCACATTTGTATACACGACGTCTCTGTAAGGGTGATGAAATTAAATATCATATTGAAAAATTAGATGATCTTTAGATAATACGTTCAGCATTATAATACATCAGCAATTTATAATATATGTACATTATTTAAGATGGACTAGCATCAATAGACAGATGTCAAAACATAGTAACCGGATATAGAGATGAATTACCTTCTGATGTAACTGGACGTTCTCTTCTAACAGTTGTTTCTCCTGAAACGAAGCCACAATTTCTAACCATTTATTGCAATGCACATAAAATATATATATACCCAGGGATATATACAGTCATTATGATCATATTATATGGTTTTGTACCTTTGCTTTTAGCTTCTCCAACTCCTCCCTGAACAACTGAGCCTAAAAACGTTCCAGTTACTTTCATTTCCACAATAAAAACACTAAAATAGAAATTACACATATATATTGATTATAGTAAACTGATTGAGATATGTCACCAAACCACTGCAACATATATATATATTTGCATTTTAGCATCATCATAGTTACCAAGATAGTGATGAGGTATATACCTTTCTTGCTCGGACCTTTCCCAAACTTCTTTGGAGTTGACTATCAATTTCTTGAAGCTCTTCTACAGAACAAGAAGCAAGTCCCTCACCCAATAGCTTCCTACACACACGTAAAAGTGGTTAATGACTGCATAATTTTTTAAAACTTCATAATACCTTTATTTGATATCAAAGACAAATATTTTTTGGATACTTCCACCACTGCAGATTGCAACTTACATGTATAATAAGTATTTTCTAAAGAAAGTTATATTTCTCAGAAAATTCAGACTGATAGTGAAATTTTCTACCATCAGCTATATATCTGTTAATTTAACTTCAATAGTAATATATATTGGCAATTAGTTTCGATTGGTTCTAAAACAATTGTTACGGTTGCGTTTACATTATTTTAATTTAAAAAATTGCAGTTTTTATTTAAAACATTTTCAGTTTTTCACTAAATATTTTTTTGCAAACAATATAAATAAACTTTTAATACAAACAAAGGGGTTTTTCTTTCTTTCTGTTTGCTTCTGGTGTCTGAGTTTATTAAATTTGGTTTAACATGTTAAGACAATGGGTTCATTCAGAAATTACCTTTTATAATGTAAACGTAAACGTAAATGCAAATAAACAATAAAAAGTGTGGTAATAACAAAATTAAAGGAGAAAGGCTAAGGCATGATACCGCTTCTGAAACTCAAGGAGTTCAATCTTTGCGATCATGTGGCTTGCTTCTTGCTTCAGTTGCTACATTATGCTCATAGAATGAAATCATATAGGATGCAAAAGAAATAAAAAACCAAGATATAATCCTTGTATATGGCCAGAATTGCTTAACGATCTTTGTGACCGTCATCCTATATGTATATATATACACTGTTGACAATCATCCTTAATTTTTGAAAAACAAATTGCATCAGTTTTCTACATTGTAAGTAAAGCTGATATATATATATATCTCCGGATTTGATTTGCTAGGCCATGAAAAGTCAAGAAAGAATCAACACCGTGAAATTATGTATATTAGGACATCAGCCTAAAGATACCATGTAAAATACTTCTTATAATGGTAAAAATCATTTAGACCGAAAACAAAAAATGTTTGGCAACAAACCTGGATGTAAATTTCTGAGTTGTGGTTGCTGGTTTCATGATCTTTTGTGTACTTGCGGTAACGTTCGATCGTCTTCTGCATGCTGATGATCAAAACATAGGCAATAATCTTTTTTTAGAATTAATTAAAATTCCGAACCTATAATTTTTCGTTATTTCTTTCTTATGCCAGATCAAATCTACTACATTCAGATTTAAAGATAACACGTGTTCTAGCATAGCAACGTAACCTGAAAATCTACCTAGCTTATTTGATTTTCTGGTAAAGATTCACCTAACGCCACATCTCTTTCAAGTTAAGTTGTACTACACTGTCTTTTGCTTGTTGGTTGAAATAATATCTCTATAGGTAACTATTTAAACCCATGCCCTATGGATTCATCGTGCATTTCCTTATAAAATGTCTCCATGTATTGACCTCTAAATACTTTTGCAATTTATTTTGCCCAAAATCAAATAACTGATTCCCACTAATCCGTTTGTAAAATCAAATTAACAAAATAGATTATTAGCACAGAGAAAAAAACATCACAATCGTATCTAACTGGAACTATCTTTGACTACAGCACAAGCTTAGATTGGTTTCTTATTGAATATATATAACTCACAATCTACAAGTATATATAGAACTGCACACCTGAATCAAATGAAGAAGAGCACGCATAAATTAGTATGACTACGAAAAAAGATAGTACACAACCGAACTAGAGGCAAGAAAAAAAGTAAACTTGTTATATAAATTATCATTAAAATGGTTAAAATATATGTGCAACTTGGTACGGACCAGACTAAATAATCATCTAAATCACATTAAGAGCTAGTTCCGATGATGTTTTTCGTTCATATTTTCAAGAAGCTTTTTGAAACCCTAGGCACACACACTCACATATAAATCTACTCAGATAAAACAAATCAGGTAGATCAGAAAAATGAGCTTGTTAAGATTTCTAATCATGTGAAAATTAGATATATCGACAAAAAAAACTATATTAATCGTGGAAGAACGAAATCTTTAGGCTTAAGTACAAATATATACCGTGGTAACTTCAATCAATTACGATTCAGAAAAAATCAGACCACACACACATAACGTAAAAAGTCTAATTAACCCAAAAAGGTAAAATTAAGAAAGCTAAATTAAAGAATTACGAAGAAATTAAAGAAGACATACTCTGAGTTAGAGAACTCGAAAAGTCTTCCTGTTTGAGAGAAGATGATGAGAGAGATTTGAGCATCACAGAGTACAGAGAGCTCATAAGCTTTCTTCAACAAACCATTTCTTCTTTTTGAGAAAGTCACTTGTCTACTCGTCGCGTTTTCTATTTTCTTCATCTCTATCTTTCCTCTCACCATCTTTTCTTCCTTTGACTCTTTTTTGTTCAGTAGAGACAAGATCTGTAAAGATGGAAACCCTAAACCAGCCAATGGTTAGGTAAAATAACCAGAATAATAAAAGAGAGAGAGACAAAGAGAGATCTTACCGGAGTGAGAAGAAATGTCTTGAAATGAGAAGAGATATATTAAAGAAAGGGTTAATTTTAAATCAAGAATTTCTCAGCAGAAGATGATGAGAAAGATCTCTGGATGAGTTCAACGTTGAGGAGGAGAAGAGAGAAGGTGGAACTCAACAAAAATGGAAAGAGAAAAAGGTAATAGGGCTCACCTCTTTTGTCAGCAACCCTAGACTGATTTGTGAGAAAGGAAAGGCAGATTTCTTTGTTTTTCAATTTTATCTTTTTCTATGGGTCACAATAAATGATGTTATTCTTAATTTTTCTTCTTGATGATAATAACTAGTATATTTCTAATTCTGTCCATATCTTCTCCTCGCCACATAACGCAGGATAACTAGATGGCAATAACAGTATAATTGTTGCTTTTATTTCATTTAGTTATCTGGAAAACAACCTGCTTTAATTAAAGTCACATATTTGTCACCCCCAGAGAACATGACTAATATTCATATTTTTCCAAATAAAAATAAAAAATGTCGCCCAATGTATGCATAGCTTTATATCATAATTCAATACTAATATACAAACGACTTTTTAAGATTTTTTCTTCTTACAAGAACATTACGAACGGCTACATATAAGCATCTCCAATTTAAAAAAGAGAATTATTTCGTTTTTGCAACATCTATTGCATATGATGGCCAGCGATTTTTATTTGAAAAAAGTTTTTGTAAGTTTAAGTTAAATATCATCCCCTTTAAACATGAAAATATGAAATTGTCAACCAGTCTCGTTTATCCGGTCAATATAGTAATCAATGCCTCCCAAATTTGAGCACAAACTTTGCGATTATAGTATAAAGTTTACTATCGTCTAAATGTTTCAAAAATATAGTGTTTCAAAAAAAAGTACGAAGTTTACTATCGCCTAATGTTTTGATACTTTTCTAAAGAAATTTACTAGGGATTAACAGATAGTTTTAGATGTTTCTCGAGCAAACTACTTAAAACAAATTAATATTCGGAGCTCAAAACGACGGATTTAAAAAAGATCATAATATTGTAGTTGCGAACCAATTATAGCAATTCAACGTTTAATAAATAATTGAGAAGAAGACAACCATGACAGGCTCAAAATGTTACATTAGAATAATGGGCGTACGAAATATAACTATAAAAATAAATAAATATATATATATATACTAAGCATTTGAAAAGATCCTCAGGAAAACATATCCTTTAACCTTTTTTTTGTAACAACATATTCTTTTTCTTATTTTAGTAAGATTAAAGATTATGAAAGCTAAACGGATTTCAGAAGGTCTCCACTAAATAGGAAATTTTGGGAGAGAGAAACAGTGAGCTACTTTGAGCAAATATTACTAAAGAACTGTTTTTGGTTTGAACATTTAACTACATATATATGTCGTCATTTTTTTGCTTAACCATATGTCGTCATAACACGGCTTTAATTAAAAAGACCATAACAGAATTTATTATGATGTTAGAGCAGCTCCATCAATGATATCTCCTAGAATACTTTATCAAAAATTTTAAAATATAAAATTGAAAAAACAATTAAAGGTAAAAGAGAGGAACCCTTCTCAGCAGGGATATTATCTTTGACATTTTGGAATCTTTCTATCTATATAGCTTCTTTCCATTCGATATTTTTTTCACTAAATAAAAATATTAACTTTTTAAATTTTAAGAACTTTATATGTGATTTACCAATGAAACTGTTCTTCGTAAAATTGTTGTTTTCTTCAGATGTAATGTACCTGAGTAATCAAATATGACCCTTTTGCTTTACGAAAAGACCAGCGAACTCCATCTCATGTGACATTAGGCGACAACCATAAAAGATGTTTCTCCAAACAAATCGATGCCAAACTCCTTAACTTCTTTACTTACACCACCTTTATATAGTTTTCAGTTTCGTTGTTCTTACATTTTAAGTGTTTGAGTTACTGGACTCCTAAAATATGAAAATTGGATAGTTACGTGTAGTTATCGGAATGCTTTCATATTTTTATTGTTAAAACAGTAATTTATCAAAAATGATAAGTTAGGCTTGAACATTTCAGATATCGTTTGGGTTACTTTATTTTGGATTTTTTTTTTTCGTTTTAAAGATATATGATCCATTGGGTAATTAGGAAATTTGGTATGGTTGTCAGGTTTTCGGTCAAGGCAGCAAAATTAGAACGGAATAATATCCAAAATAAATTATGGCATGATTCAGTTCGGTTTCAATTTTTTTTTGATTAATATGAATTAGAAATAGGATAATTTGTATTTTGGATTAAATATTAAATTTTTTGGCATCTCAAATAGAAATATCGTATAATTAAGATAAATTTAAATATTTTGAATAAAAAATATTCGGGTAATTTATTTTTCCATGTGATTCGGTGATAAATAATGTTTTTAAGAAACATTTGATTATTTTAAAACTAAATACAATACTTATAAGTACATAGAATATATTATGAAAATTTGAGTATGTTTAGTTTTAGGTTCAATTCTGATTTGATTCGATTTTTTCACTTTTAAAGATATTGGATCCATTTGGATAATATATAGTATCAAAATCAAACCTCATTTTCTTGTTGGTTAGTATCGATATTCTGGTTTCTGATAATGTGCCCGGGCTCAGGATAAACAGTATAGAATAGAGCACCCCGAAAAGAAAGAGTATTGAAATGGTCATCGACATCATCGTACAGTGTAAGTGCTTTTATCACGTGTCTTGCACTTATTTGGTTTCACCTGTTCGATTACTGTCCTTCGTGAATTTAATAAACTGCTCTTATCCGTTTCATAATTTGCATGTACTTCGCTGTTTTAGTTTACAGATAAAAATTATGAAATGGTTGTTAGTAATATCGGTTGAACAAAAAAAAATTCTGTGATATAATCCTCTTAAAACGTTTTGGGAGATTGTAGCAAATTGTTATATCGAATGTTTGAATCTGTATCCAAAGGCCCATTTATGGGAAAGGTTTTCATCTGTCCTATAGATTAGTGTACCTTACTGAATTTAATATACTTCTCTTACCCATTATAGATTTTCTTAACACACAACTTCGCTGTTTTAGTTGACGGATAATAAATATCTGAAATGGGTTTCGTTTAAATATCCATATTTGTTCATTATAACCTTAATCTCTTAATTGAGATTCTTAGCTTCGATTAAAATAGTTTCTTAACTTTTCTAAGCTTTTAACTAAGAAAAATTAGGAATCGTCTATTATATAAGAGATATAAGATCTGTTTTTTAGCCGAAAATATTAATTTTTTTTTTAGTCAAATCTTAAAATAAAAATCCGACTCAGTAGTGGTCCTGACTTGCTAAGGACCAGAATTTTTTTTAGAAAAAAGGCCGGTAATGTCCCAACCATAGCTCGAATCCCATACTTCTAATGTTTTCTATCAGGACCGGGCTTACCCGACTAAAAGACCGGAGTTAATCATATGCCCTTATGTTCCTATGGTGACTACCAAAGGCATATTTAAACGAAAGGAACAAGGCCCTAAAATATTTCCGAAGCTTCCGGCATGGAGAGAAGGTTTAGGTTTGGCGGCGTTTTCTCAACATCTGTCCAAATCCGGTAGAAACTTACGAAGCATTCTCTTGAGGTCTTCTTCGCGATCATTCTGGTCGTCACTAGTCAATATTATTGTCATAAAATCTCCGAGTAAGTCTATTAGTTTTGCATTTTATTGATGTCGCAGACAGATCCATCCCGAAGTTTCGTTTGTTCTCAGGTGAGAGAAAAAATGAAGCATTAAAAGCTACAAGAAAATTTAGAATGTGACAAACATACTCGTTGCATGTAAAAAAAAAAAAAGTTCTTTTTTTTTTGAAGTATTTACCTTTTGATGATGCTATACTACTCATGTCTCTCTTTATTTTGCTTGATAATGAAGCCTTTCAAGTATGTTTTATAACCCACTAGGTTCGAATGTATGTCTCTCCTACTGAAACATTTTAATTTCATATTCATGGTTTCATATGCGGCGAGTGCTAGTATGATTTCCCCCCTGAATAAAAGTATCTGAGCTTTAATTTTAACTGAAGATTATTAATCTGCTTAATGATGATTGTTAAAGTGGAAGAATTTGGAATTAGAAAAAAAAACTGATGGTGGCATATACTTTTGAAGGGGTTATTCCATGAATGTGTTCTCTTGTGTTTTTTTTTCTTTAAAGAGCCAAAGTTATGAGAGTTATTTTTAATCATTACAAAGTCATCCAAGTATAATTCGTCGTTCTTGTTTTGCAGATTTTGAAGTGGTTTGCTTTGTCTCCCAAGTCGAGTGCTGCTCATGTTCCTTGCGTACTACGTCATGACTCATGAGACGTCCTAGGCTTAGGTTTTTTTTATATACATTTTGTTTCTCATATATTAAGAGATTGCCATCAAGAGCTGATGGGTGATAACATCTTGAAAGAAATTGACTGGTACAGCATCCAAATGATTGTTTTTTTTTAATAATCCCAAGCACAAAATCTCAAGAAACAAAAGACAACTTCGTCAAGCCCAAACAGCTATAAGAGACATCAAACCAGCCCCAAAAATAAGAGAAACACTGCAAGCTAACTGTATTTTCATACTACTCTGAGCTTTGTGGTTCAGAAATAGTGGAGCTACCAAATCAACAAGAGCCATGTAAATCAATATTCCAGCAGCTACAGCGTTAAGAAAACCAGACACTTTTAGTGCCATTGGACTATTCTCATTGTAAATCTCAGAAACTCCAATACCAATTCCAATCCCAGCTGGGGCTGTAAGTGCGAAAAACAACACCATAGTCCAAACTTTCTTAATTTCAAACTTTGCCTACACAAAAACATAAGTTGCTTATTTAATTAACATTCAGTTTTTTTTTTTGAAACACTCAGTTAATAGCAGGGCTGTCTAATAATGTGTGTAGGTGGAGCGGTCGAACAAGGCTCCAAATATAAAAATAAGAAAAAAATATAAAAATTTAAGAAATATATAGATAAATTATGATAATCTATGATAATCTATATATTTAAATTTTTTTTAAAAAAATATTAGATATATTACTAGATATAACTTATAATTTTTAAAGAAACATCAAACATAGTTATTAATTTTAAAACTTTTTCATTAAATCATAAATATATCATTAATTTTTTTTTTGAACAGGGTCTAAAATTTATTTGAGACGAACTTAGTTAATAGCATCATAAATATGAAAGAAATAAAATAATATGTTAAGATTACCTCAGAGATGCAACCACCAAGACCAAAACCTTCAAACAGTTGATGAAAAGTGATTGCTGCCAAGAGAGGCTTTATAGTGCTTACACTTGGAGATACTCCTAGAGATATTCCTATTATCACTGAGTGAACCACAATACCCAATTCCAGTATCTAACACCATAACAAAACCAAAAACAACATGTGATTAATTAGTACTTACTCAATTACTTTAGCAAAGTGCGTTTGTCTAAAAATCAAGAAGTAGTGATTTATTACCTGTGTTACAATCTTTTTCCTCAGATCATCTTGAGGAACAAGAGAAAAGCCATGAGAATGTCCTTCCGAGGCATGAGTATGAGCAGAGCCAATCTCCTTATCTCCATCGTTTCTCACCGGCAAGGTCTTAGCCTCATTCTCCACCCGAGACCTGTTCATATACCCTGAAGCAAAAGACTCAATCAACATGGTCAAGATCGCTCCAGCCATGGCGACAAGTCCCGTCACTGGAAAATCTCCCCATGGTGGCTCTTCACCAAGGCACGGACTCGTGAGACTCTCCGTGGCATCTGGAAGAATGTGGACAAAACCGGTTGCTAAGATTACTCCTGCGGCGAATGCCTTGACAAACATAAAGAAGTTGCTCTCTGACTTGAGACCGAAGATAGGTAAACACACTCCAAATATTCCGGCTAGTAAGATGGAGAAGAAGGCTCCGATCTTGTACTTAAGCACCGTTGCCTTCTCCGCAGCTGAGCTTCTTCCACTGGAGCTGCCGCATTCATTTTCTTCATCCGTGGCTGAGACAAGAAGAGGTAGAGTAACCAACAAGCAAACGAAAGCTAAGATTAGGGTTCTCGAGAAGCAACCCATCTTTGGCCCTTGTACACGTTAGGGTTTTTTAACTTTTTTTTCTCTTCCTTTGTGGGTTTGTAACAGTGAACAACTCAAGCTGCTTATTTATACAAAGATTTTTGTTTACAGAGGTTTATCTGAGGTATAAAACCTTGTTTGATAGGTTAGTAATATTAGGCCTTAAAGATGGTAATTCGTGTAATCTTGAAGAAACAATGTCAACATGAACAATTAAGAATGTTGTTTTCAAATTTTATTTGGAAAAGTTTCGGTTGATAGTAGAAGTTATTATTCGGAGATGACGACATATTTTGTCTAAGAATGTCGTTATGACTTATTAGTTTCTGGTCAAAAAAATGGAAAGAAATTGTATAACTCAGGCAGTTGGTATTTCATGCAGAATATTTATTTGACTATTTAATAGCCTAAGACAAACACCAATGGTGAAGTTTTCGACAGCCGTATCTAATCCACAAATAATACAATAATTTAATAGTGGAAACACCATATAACCTAGTAATCAAGGTTTAATTTTTTTTTTTTGATAAAAGGTTTTCATTTTTTTTATACCAGATTCGATTCTTTAAAGATGTAATTTTGTACAGACTATATGATGTAAACTTATTAGAAGTTTTAAAATGTTGCAAGTAATTTGTTGTGATCGAATGCTACAGAGAGAATCTGTCTATCAAAAGTGTAGTATATGATCGGGTGATTGTGGTCGAGTGGTAAAGAGATGGGATTGACACACTAACATGTTTTAGGTTCGATCCACTTATTGCGCAAAACTAAGTCACAATTATCCTGGTCACCAAACACGGATATAGACCTATGATTTAGGGCCCATTTGAATATCCGGAAAAAGGGTCTATCCGTGGGTTGTACCTCCCCTTTGAAATTAGTTTGGACCTCTCCATGGGTTTAGGATACCTCCAGGTTAATAAAAAAGATATGTAGTATATGTAAAAATGTTGGTCGATCAGAATGTTTTGAAGAGAACAATGTTTCAGATAGTTTATTATCATTTGTAAAAAATATTATATAAATTTATATTTAATATTAAAAGAGAAAATAGTTTAATATAATATTTTTCTCATTGAGATTATTTGTTTTAGATGATATTGAACCATTTAAATTATGTCCAACAGCTAAACAGTTTCTCAAAGTTCATTGGGGTTATTTTTAAGAATTTTATTTAACACTCTTTACCTTTTTATATTATTTTTATTAATTCTTAAAACATGAAAAGGTTCCGATTGGACATGTTTTAATTGGGAACTAGGATAAGATCTGCGCCTTGCGCGGGATGAAGCTATTATTTTTATTATGTTTTTTAAAATGAAACAATAGTTCGGTTTGATTCGAATTAGAGGTGTTCAATCCAGATATCGGATTTCGGTTCGGCTCGATTTTTTGGTATTTCGATCATTAAAATATAACTACTATTCTAAATCTATATGTACTTCAGTTTGATTTGGTTTATATACCATCGGTTTCCAGTTTCATCAATTTTATACCAAAAAACATAATTATTTAGTTTGAGATCATATTATATATTATACAAATATATAATATGATTAGAGTCATATTGTCACAGAGTCATTTATTAAAAAAATATTATATATTTAAATAAAATAATAAAAAACAAAAAAGGCTTCTATCATCTAATAAAATGATATCTAGAATTAATATCAAAACACTAAATTTTGAAAATAAAAATAAAAAACAAAACAGAAGCATGAAAGAAAAGTTTTTATATTCTTCCATATTTAGTGTTCATCAAACCAATATGTCTTCGATTGAACACAACTCTGTTTGTTCAAAGATAAAAAAAAAAAGTTGTAAAGAATTTCAACTAATTGTTGTCCATCAAATTTATAATCTTTACTTCAATTTAGTTACTGTTAAAAAAAACAAAAGATCAAAATAAGAAGTCTTAGTTGTAATAAATTGTTAGCTATTTACAAATTATAATTATAGTTCAACTCATGTAACAAATAGATATTCATGCGTCGTTATAAATATATACATATTTACATGTTTCAGTTTAATCGATTATAAATCAAAACATATCAAAATCCTATGGTTTTTATAAAATCACATCCATTCGGTTTGTATGGTATATACCAAAAATAACCATATTATCGATTGTTAATATCTTTTAAAAATATAAAATTAAAAAAAAAAGAACTAAGATATTTAAATCATTGATAACAAAAAAATTCAATGTGAAAAATTTAATAAGTTTATAATTTATAAATGTTCTTGAAAATTTATTGAAAATTTTGAAATTAAAATATTTATGTAATCTTATATGGTATATAGTTTAATCTGTATATATATATTTGTTTTATTATTGAATGATACTTTTTACTTATATGGTTTTAAAATCATGTATATCTTCTTATAATAAAATGTTAAACTATTGATCATTAATTTTTAACATAATAATTTTAATAGTTTAGTCATTTATTCTCGTTTCTTAAAATTCAAAATATAACCTATACGAAAAAATCTAAAGTTTAATTTTATAGCTAATTTGATTGTTTAATTTATTTTAATAATATAAAATTAAAGAAAAATGATGGAGATATATAAACTGTTATCAAATATTTATTATTAAAATCATTAAGTGTCATATATATATTAGTCATTTATGGTAATTCCGTAGTTTTTATATATGGAAATAAAATAAAATAGTAATTATATCTTAGGGAACAATCATTAAGTGTCATATATATATATATATATATATATATATATATATATATATATGAGTCATTTATGATAATTCCATAGGTTTTATTTATGGAAAGAAAATAGCATATCATATCATTATATCATATAGTTTGACTAACTAATGTATCTAGCAACCTATAAAAATCCAATGTGGACTTACTTATTTTTCAATTGAATCTAATTGACTACCTAATTGATTGACACCTATGCATTGGGGTCTCTTTTAATTAATACAAAATTGAGGTTACATCTTTTCAAATGTTCCTCGATTAATATATAGGGGATAAGTTGGAAAAAAATTCTGGAAAATTGTCATTTAGATCACCAATTTTCAAATCTGGTTGAAATAAATCACCAACTTTCTCATAAGCAAAAAAACACTATCGTTAGTCAAGCCATTTTAGTCACAAAATTTATTCGGCCATACCAATTTAGGCATATCGTTAGTCAACAGTTATAGTTGACTAACGGTAGGCCTAAAATGGCTTTCAAAGTTGATGTTTTTTTGGCACAAATATAAATCAATATCTTTTTTTACAAATTGGATATATTTTAAATATTGAAAATATTTTTATAACTGAAGCACTAATAAATAAAAGATCCAATAAAAATATAAATAAAACTCAATGTAAAATAATTAGTTAACATACATTAATTGGGTATCTTGGTTATAAAATGATAAGAATATTTTAATTACTTATGATTAATTTTTGTAAATATTTATATAATCCTATTTGAATTATGTTTTATAATTTTATTTTCAAAAGTTTGTTGATGAAATATTAATTCAACTATTGTTTCTTAAATGAAAAAGTTATCCATTAACGAATTATTCATGATTCTTTAAGTTTATAATAAAGATCTTCAAACAAATCTATATATTTTCTATAAAATTTTTACAAGAGGTTTTCTGCATTTAAAAAAAAAATAAGTTTCACTAAAATAGATAACTTTTTTTGTTATCCGATAACTCATTTTGTTTAAAAAATCAAGAATTGAAGTAATATTATACTAACAAATTTTTGACAGCAAAATTATAAAACATAATCCGTGTAGGATTATAAAAATATTTTTTAAAATTTAATCGTAAATAATTAACAAAATCATAATCATTTTAACTAAAATACTCAATTAAGGATATGTTAATTAATAATTTTACATTGAGTTATGTTTTTATTTTGAATGGAATTTATTTTTTTATTTACAATTTTATTTATCAGTGTTATAGTTATTAAAAGTTTCAATATTTAAAAGCCAATATTTTGAAGAATTGTTGATTTATATTTGTGCAAAAAAAACACCAACTTTACAAGTCATTATAGGCCTACCGTTAGTCAACTATAACTGTTGACTAACGGTATACCTAAATTGGTATGGTCGAAGAAAGTTTGTGATTAAAATGGCTTATTAACAAAAAAATGAGTGTTTTTGGCTTATGAAAAAGTTGGTGCTTTATTTCAACTAAATTTGAAAGTTGATGATTTAAATCACAATTTTCTCAAAAAAATTCTAACAGTTTCTGGTTAAATCCATAGATCAAATCCATCAATAGCATATACAGAGTATGTTACAATAAAAATAATAAAATGGTAGAAAGTCACATTTGATAAAACAAATTTATTGTAAAATAATAATTTATATTTGTTTAAGATATTTATAGGACTTTTTGCCAATAATCTATACTATTAAAGCAGAATCTCTACTAGGATTTTGCCCTTTCTTTTTTAAGTTATTTACATTGTTATGCCATTGACATTTAATTTTAATAGCTATATTATTTATTTAAACTAAACAACAGAATTTTTCCTATATTTTTGGTAATTAATACTATCCATAATTTATAAATAATATTAATTCTAAATTTATGTAAATAATATATTTCATTTAATTTAAATATTATTTTTCTTGATTAGTATTATTTAACAATCAAATTTGAATATATATATATATATATATGGAAATTAAAAATATTATTTACTATGTCATTTTTACTTTTTGAACCTTCAAAAATATTTTTAAAACTTATTATAAAATTAAATTTTACATCTAAAATAAACAGAAATAACTTTCATAAGTTATTAAAAACGAAAAAAGAAGTTATATTGTCATATCAATAAATTTTTCTTTTTCTATTATCATTATTTCATTTTTTCAAATGATTTAATAAAAAATTCATCAAAATATTAGATGTCACAGATTTTCAGTCTTATATAATATTGAAATGTATTAGTTATTTAATCAAAAAAAAAATTATTTTCAACGAATCATCTGATACCGGA